GGATTCTGTGTGAAATGAAATGAGCTACATTCGAACCTTCACTAACGGTCACCTCTCCACAACGGTCACCTCTCTATAACGGTCACCTCTCCACAACGGTCACCTCTCCACAACAGTCACCTCTCTACAACGATCTCCTCTCTATAACGGTCACCTCTCTACAACGATCTCCTCTCTATAACGGTCACCTCTCTATAACGGTCACCTCTCCACAGCGGTCACCTCTCCACAACGGTCACCTCTCTATAACGGTCACCTCTCTACAACGGTCACCTCTCTGCAACGGCCACCTCTCTACAACGGTCACCTCTCTATAACGGTCACCTCTCTACAACGGTCACCTCTCTACAACGGTCACCTCTCTACAACGGTCACCTCTCTACAACGGTCACCTCTCTACAACGGTCACCTCTCTACAACGGTCACCTCTCTACAACGGTCACCTCTCTACAACGGCCACCTCTCTACAACGGTCACCTCTCCACAACGGTCACCTCTCTACAACGGTCGCCTTTTTACAACGGTCACCTCTCTACAACGGTCACCTCTCTACAATGGTCACCTCTCCACAACGGTCGCTTTTTTACAACGGTCACCTCTCTACAACGGTCACCTCTTCACAACGGTCACCTCTCTACAATGGCCACCTCTCTGTAACGGTCATCTCTCTATAACCGTCACCTCTCCACAACGGCCACCTCTCTATAACGGTCACCTCTCCACAACGGCCAACTCTCCACAACGGTCACCTCTCCACAACGGTCGACTCTCCACAACGGTCACCTCTCCACAACGGTCACCTCTCCACAACGGTCGACTCTCCACAACGGTCACCTCTCTATAACGGTCACCTCTCTACAACGGTCACCTCTCCACAATGGTCACCTCTCCACAACGGTCGACTCTCTACAACGGTCACCTCTCTATAACGGCCACCTCTCTACAACGGTCACCTCTTCACGACGGTCACCTCTCTACAACGGTCACCTCTCCACAACGGTCCCCTCTCTGTAACGGTCACCTCTCTATAACGGTCACCTCTCCACAACGGCCACCTCTCTATAACGGTCACCTCTTCACAACGGTCACCTCTCCACAACGGTCCACCGCGGTCAAACGTTTGAGCATGCACGAAGAATTGCTTGGTGATCGCTACATTCGATTTGGAAAATCTTTACACATGTGGCTACGTCTTTTTGCGGGCAAGAACAGAGAAATTTTCTTTGCATTTCAAGAAAGTTCACTGGCGATGAATAGCAAGAATAAGAAGAACGTATAACAGGAAATGTAAGTATGAGTAAACTTGCCTTTGACAATCATAATATTCCCCAAGTGCTCGTATGCTCTTGTTGATCAAAATGGTGGCACACATTTGTGACCGCTAAAAGTATAGCTCAAGTTTAAATAGTTTTAAATTGTTTAAGCTTTCTGTAATGTTTTTATACTAACACTGGCTTGAACGTAATTTGAATGGTTGGTATTTTTATTTAATACAAACCATATCTTTTGGGCTCTGGTTCGTTCTGCAAAATAAGCAATTTAGTAAATTGTCTGGTTGTCTTTTTTTTGCGATGAAACTGTTCTTTTATGACTGACGACCTTAATTTTAAGCTTGTTCTTATCTTTTCACATCAAATATATTATCTCGCTTAGGGTTTAAGTCTGTATTAATAACAAACAAAATGTATCGATAATGAATAGTTATTTTAGATCTCATTCATAAAATTCAATGACCACATCACATGAGTTTAGTAAACATAATCGAGCTCAAAAAAGATGTATGAACATCTATAGTGTCGGTGTTATTTATTGTTTTAGGCCAGGCACATTGTGAGGGGAAAAAGGTTTTTGTTTTAGCAGATGTTTAATAACCACACATAAGTTCAATAATCACAGCAGCATAAGATTATTTTTGACTGTTTGACATTGCAAATTGACCAGACATCATTGTACATGCTGTCATTTCAACACTATTGCTTATTCTTCATGTTTGTTTACATTTATGACTAGGCGTCTGTTTTCATTACGCTGTCCATTCAATGCTCGCAGCTTGGTCTTAGTTTTACAGTTTAAATTACTAGCAATAGGGGGGTGGTAAATGAAGCCTCTCAGTTGTACAACCTTCTGTGTTGATTTAACTGCCATGGTGTTTAATGATCTTGTATGCATCTTTAAAGTGGGCCAAATAATAGGAGTTAGAGATTATTGTGGGTTACTAGATGCTCGTATAGCATTAAAAGGAAAGGCACTTGGTATCTACAGTAGTTTTGTTTTTGTTATAACAGTCTGACAACTTATTATTTATTTGATTAAATCTATCTTATTTTTGTACAGAAAGTTAGGAAGGGGATGAATAGAAGACACAGAGTCTAGACCCTGAAGGAGAAGCAGATCCATGAGAAAAGGATGCAAAATGAGAAGAAAGAATGGAAATAATGTACATAAAGAACACTTAATTTAACTGAAAAGACAAATAAAGGTTCCACTCAATTTTATTTGCAATTTTGTCTTCTTTCTTACAGTATTTTAGACTGTCTTTTAGAAAATCTTGCTAGCCAAGCAGTCTAACTGACCAGCCATCATTTGGAGATGGGCAGCTATCCTCTCAAGGCTTTGTTACCTGTTTATTATTATTATTTTTTCTGCTTTTTCTTAAAGTCTTCTTTGTTGATCTTTGATCACCTCTCTGGCTTAAACAAAGTGCATTATTATGGTCTAAGTGAAAAAGTTAAATTCCATTTTTTCTCTTCTGTTTCAATCACAAATAGGACACCCCTTACTTCCATTTCTTTTTCTGACAACTGGAAACAGGGATGACTCCAACCAGTTTTTCGATGATCACTTGTAGTTAATTGCTTCTGACGAGCTTAAAATGCAAAGCACACTGCGTTTATATATAGCAAAATGTTGAAAGCCTTGGCTCACCTGATCAGGAGCTCAAAAGGTAATCAAGGAAATAGGTCATGGGTAGGGGAGGGGAGGGGAGGGAAAAGCTGAAAAAAAACCATTAACCGAGAAAAAGATATTTCTGTACAGTTGTTGATCTGTTTTTAAAATATTACTTAAAATGAGAGGACAGTGAATTCAAATTGCTGAGAACAAAATTTTAGTTAAGTGTGGTTTACCATATTTTCTGATGTCTCTTTCGTTTGTTTTTGGAGTGAAGAGATTTATTAACTGCGTTGCTTCTGCTTAATTATTGCACCATTTTGTCCGAGGTTTGTAGTCGGTAACGTTGTCAGGTTGTTCCTGCCCACCTCGTCAAATACTGCATACAGTCTCTCGAGGATTGGAATTTTAAATGGTTCTACTGTGTCCCCACGAAGATGGACAGGAGCAGCGTTTGTCCTCGGCAAGTATCGCGTTTCTATGCCTCAGGCAAGGCCATGATCCTTCAGCAGGTACCCCTTCTGCCCTCGATAAAACTTAATCAACACTCCGGAGCTGTTTTTGACCACAGTTTTCTCTTCCTGTTGGCTTCTCCCTTCCTGGACTCATCACGCATTGGAACAGCGACATTCAGTAAACAAGTCTAAACAAATGGCGACGACAAGCTTTCGCATGTCGGCTCTTTTAAGGCGAAGAACTTTTTTAGAGAAGGTCAAAAAAAATTAGTGAACTCGGAGAATAATGAAAATTTATCTGACTATTCGCTGTGAAAACAAAAACCTTCACTTTCAAGTGTTTCGCTTAACTTTAGCGTATTTCTGACGATTGTTCAACTATACTTTGCTTGACACCGGTCTCTGCAATGGTTTCAATTAAAATTTCGCGCGGGAAATTTCCCCGGCCGGGACCGGATACGAGTGCATTGCGCATGCTCGAGCGTTTGACCGCGGTTAACCACAACGGTCACCTCTCCACAACGGTCACCTCTCTATAACGGTCACCTCTCCACAACGGTCACCTCTCTATAACGGTCGCCTCTCCACAACGGTCACCTCTCTATAACGGTCACCTTTCTACAACGGTCACCTCTCTATAACGGTCACCTTTCTACAACGGTCACCTCTCTATAACGGTCACCTCTGTACAATGGTCACCTCTCCACAACGGTCACCTCTCCACAACGGTCACCTCTCTACAATGGTCACCTCTCTACAACGGTCACCTCTCTACAACGGCCACCCGTCTACAACGGTCACCGCTCTATAACGGCCACTTTGTTTTGTCTCGGCGGACAGTCCACACATTCACTCTTATTTAAACCCCTCCACGACGGCCACCTCTCCACAACGGCCACCTCTGTATAACGGCCACCCGTCTACAACGGTCAACTCTCTATAACGGCCACTTTATTTTGTCTCGGCGGACAGTTCCCACATTCACTCTTATTTAAACCTCTCTGCAACAGCCACTAACGCATGTCCCTAACTACCAAAATATCCACTCGACAACGGCCAGTTTTTTTCAGCGACTGATGAAAAAGTCAAGAATGGTTCCGAATTGATCCGTATGGCACCTCTTTGATCTGATGATCGTGGCAGTCGAATTTCGATTTTGTTTCATTTATACTGCTGCAGTAGGCAAAAATTGTCTACGATACTTACAGCGAATGCTGCGAACCTTACTCGTTTTGTCACGTTAACATTTTGCTTCGAAACACTATTCAAGATTTTTGTGTATTTTATCTCTATGCATTATATATGATTTAATTAACCATGATTATGGGACACAGTAAGCATAAACTTAGCACAAAAAACACATGTTGTACTCTCCAAAAAAAGTTGTCATATGACACCCCTACCTCCACATAACGGCCACCTCTCTACAACAGCTACTTTCTTCTGTCCCCAAGGTGGTAGCCTGCGAACAGCAGACGTATTTCCGGTCGCAAGGTAGCCTGCGAACAGCAGACGTATTTCCGGTCGCAAAGTAGCCTGCGAACAGCAGACGTATTTTTACGTCTTCTGTTCGCAAGCTACCCAGGTGGCCGTTGTGGCCTTGAGAGGTTCCACGTGGTAGTTTATCTTTTTTTAGTGGGTTTCTTGCTTTCGAGC